ATACCTCTTCGGATTTCCAGCCTGATTGTTCTGCGGCTCTTAGACGCACCGCCCTGATTTCTTCTTCTTTTTGGTTTCTTCTGTTTTGTTTGTTTGTTGTTGTTTTTTTTTTAAATTTTTGTGTCTCTCGTTATTTACATTGAGTTTGCGGCGCTTTACTTTTTTTTGTCACATTCGGTTTGCTAGTGCTATTAAAACTCTCAGAATAACTTTCTTTAATGAATTTTTCTTTCTCCTCTATTGTTCTGTCTTCAAGCTAAGCTATTCACATTTTGGTTACAACTGAAAAAGAATGTTTGCATACAAATGTTCACACACACACACACATACACACACACACTCACACACATGCATAAGTACATATACGAATGTATGAAAGCACACGCCATTACAGACGCACAAACACACAAGCACACAAACTCACACTCACACCGACCAGTAAACTTCAACGAGCGTAGAATATTTTGGAGATATGTGGAGAGAAAGAGAGAGGAAGATGCAATCAAAGGACAATTACTTTGATGACGCCACGGATCACGTGCTTAAGAAATAAGATGCTTCCTCGTTCAAACGGTTGGGTGTTTACGCGTGTTGGTCTCGTGCGTGTCTGTGTGCGTGTCTGTGTGCATGTATGTGTGCGTGTCTATGTACATGTATGTATTTATGTGTGTGTGTGTGCATGTATGTGTGCATCGCATTCATTATGTTTGTTTACGAAACTTACATACACGTAGTTTTAAAACTTGTAACTTTCATTGAATACATATATATATATATATATATATATATATATATATATATTTATATATATAACACATACACGTACATACACGCACATACACGCACATACATGCACATACACGCACGCACACATGCGCGTGAGATGTATAAAACGATCGCCTTGTATCGCGTTGATTCGTGCGGCGATAGAGAATTAAATGAATGAAAATCTAAATTGATATTGAATGCATCACAATTATTTTCACTCTGCTCTTTCTTCTTTTTTCTCTTTCTCTCTCTCTCTCTCTCTCTCTCTCTCTCTCTCTCTCTCTCTCTTCCTCTCTCCCTTCACTTCTATCTCTCTTTGTTATTTCTCCTTTTTTACATCTACCGCACTTTTTCTTGTTTTGTAACTAAATGTGAATATTATGTTATGTTCCTATTTACCTTCTAAATAATTTATTTCTATTTTTTGTTTACTTTAACTCTTTTCAATAATTTGCCATCAAGACGGTGAACAACAGGCGACAGTCATATGCAGTGCAGTATTTGTAATTTGCATCTACGAAATGATTGTAATGCGACGGACGTCTGCTTAGGGCCGCTGCACTACTAATCACCTGGAAAAGTGGAAACCCTTCATCGACATTGGCCTACACCTGTTTATCTCTTTATCTATTCATTTGTTAACTTTGTTTCCATCGTTCACTCTTCCACCACTCCGTTTATTCATCTCTCAGTCTATCCATTTATTTTTCTCTTTTTCATGTTTTCTCAATCTATCCATCAATTCATCTTTCCTTCTTCCAGCTCTCCATCCATCTCTTCATCTCTAATTAATTTGTGTCCAAACAGTTTCTAGGTGTTTATGAATTAAACAAAGTTTTACTGTCCATGTCTAATTTGTGTGATCTTTATTTACGTGCTACACGTTCTTTGCGTATCTATCTAACTATCAACATGCGAACCAATACATGAACATGTATATAATCACTCCGTAGGCACGCTAATATGTAAATATATATGTATGTATATATATGTAATATGTAAATATATATGTATGTACGTATGTAAACATATTTGTGTATATACAAGTATGTATGATCGTTTATTCAGCCAATAGAAACGTTTGAAAGTCAAGCAGCGCCAACCAATAGTAAGCAAGCATGGTCCAATAAGCCTTAATGTATCCAGTTCATGCTATCAATAAGCCATCAATCAAACGTACTTCTACTAAATTGCCTATGTCCCTAGCCTGGGAATGTTCTTTCTATCAGTGCGTCCGTTTGAGTTTCTATCCATTTTATTATAATTGCATGCGCCTATGTGTGTAATTGTACGGATGTTGTAATGTTAGTAATGTAATGTTCATGTATATTTAATGTTCTTTCTTGCCTCGCTTCTCGCATTATTTTGCATGAATTTTTCTTACTTTTTATTTCTTGCACTTGGAGATAATTACATTTTTCTACTTTTATTTCAATTTTATTTTCGCTTTCTGAACTTTATTCTTTTGTACTTGGACGAAAAAATTGTCCAGTCATAAGCAATGAAACCTAGCATATAAATAAACTGTACATACATATTTATACATACATATATAGTGTATATATATATACATATACATATGTATATAGATTTATATATAAACGCTTGCATACGCAAACACGCTCACAATTCAAAAAAAGACCACGCCTACGCGCGCAAAAGGGGTGTGGCCAGATCGATGACGTAATTATTTTTATTGCGGAGAATATGGAGGATAATTTTTAAAGAGTTTCTTCTTTATTATTATCGCCATTTTTGAATTCGTTCTTAACAATGCTGAACTGGAAAGGAAAGAGCGTGGCGGAAGAAGATGTGAGTGATATAAAAGTGAAAAAGGAAACAGTGATGCTACAGTGTTGTTGTTGATTTTGTAATTTATTTTCATTTCTTTGGTTCAGAAAAAAAGTAGTTGTTTGTTAAATGCATTAGATTTCCATTCCTTTCCAACGATTGATGTTCAGTGATGATTTAGTTGGACGTGTCTCCCTCCAACTCATTAATGGTCGTCCGTAAGGTTGTTTAGTTGAAATTAGATTTATGTTCAAAGGAAATAGTTTTAATTGAATTTCGATTTATATTTAATGAAAATTGTTTTAGTTGAATTTGAATTTATAATTAATGAAAATATTTTTCACATTTCGTACAATCATTAAAACATTATTAATTTGAAAAAATTATTTATTTATTTACGTCGGGATGACTTTTTTCAAAACCGCTCAGACCTGCTTCTTGCTGGAAAGTAGCGATAAATAGTTACGCACGTCTACACCGCAATCAGCGAAACAGGTACTGCAACAACATCAACAAAACAACATCATATGTTGTAACCAAGTTCATCATTACAGTAACAAATACATAATCAAAACTTGCAAATTTGTTGAACAAATTTGAGCACCATGACATCACAGCCACCGGATGCTCCATCAATTCCTCATTCAAAAGGCAACATTCACAATGTTGACCAAGATAACATCAACAACAGCAACAACAACAAAATAATCAACAGCAACATTCAAAGCAACACCATTATGAACATCAACAGCGTAAATAACAACGCCGATGATGAAAGTACCGATGAAATGAATGACGAGAGCAACAATAACAACGACAAACTCAGCAAAACCAACAACAAAATCATCAACCACAACAACGCCACA